CCTTCTCGTGAGGGCCACCTTGGCTATTCAGCAGCTTCCTTTTCGATTTCTGACCTTTTGGGGTTGAACATGAGGCTAAGAAGATCACTGTGAACATTTGCTTGTGGAGAATCTTCCTAAAATGCTTTCCTGGTACCCTCTTGGAAATACATCAAGAAAGTCTTTCTTAGAGGAAGAACCAGGCACATGGAACCTACTCTAGCTGCCCAGGAAAAAGCTGACTCTGGCACAAGACTGCGGTGCCAAGGAGCTGAATCCTCAGCAGAGAGATCAGAAACTGGAAGAGGGCCCTGGAAGAGGCTGGTCTCTGGTGAACTGAATCACAGAGAATGTGGCGAAGGAACCACTGGGATAATTCAACGTCAATGCATTGGGAGGCATGGCAGATCTCCAAAACATTTAGTTTGACTAAATGGAACAGCATCTGACTAGATATAAGCCCTGGAGTGCAGGTGATTGAGAACTGGGCTGAAGCATTCTCCTCCTGTGGGGTGATGGGCCTTTTTAGACATGCGGGGGTTCCAGTATTTCCATTCCTGTCCAGAATTGTGCAAATCTCTTCCTTCCTTGGCTGCAGCTAGACAAGGCCAGGAAGGCTCTCGAGTCCCACTGGTGTTGGGTGCACTGCCCTGCCATGGCACATCGTATCCATGAGTGAGGATTGGTGTGCCCGTATGAACCACCGAGGAGAAAGAGAACTCATGCCTATAGTTCTCACACAGGAGACACCAGTGGAATTTCATGTTCAAGAACTCTGAAGCCTCAAGTGGTGTTTCTAGTTAGGTCAGGAAGTAAGTATTCCCTTGCCCCCACTGGTAAAAAAACAAACAAACAAAAAAACCCATCCGTAGCTAAAGCTGCCAGGATTAATGTAATGATCAAATTCTCAAACAGGGTATTTTAAACATTGTTTACATATGAAATGTGCATCTGCTGCCAACTCTACTGTCGAAAATGAGGTGCATAGAAATTGGAACAGCATGGAGTTATGGAAATCTGAAACGTTCTAAGAGGGGCCTTTTTACCACTTCCACTATCCCCAGGAGACAAGTCTGAACAAAAGTGTTGTGCGGTGGCCTCACTGGGGCCCTAGAGTTCTTGCCAACTGTTGGTGGAATGAAGGCTTCAGATGGTGGTGTCATGGCGCCTGGTGACTTCCTCCCACAATGGGGAGGCATGAAGGACCAAGCTTGGGTATCCTGAATGTTGCCACTAAGCGAGGGTATGTGGGCATGTGTGGAGGAACATGATCGCTGTTTATGGTACTCCCATGGAGTGTGAGTGTGTGTGAGAGAGAGACAGAGAGAGAGAGAGAGAGAGAGAACTATGAGCATTAGACTAGTAACCACAGAGGTGGTCTTCCCATGGGATGGAGCTGTCCGCACACCTGTATGTCCTGCTTCCCACAAAAGGCACAGAGCTCTGCGCTCTCGTGCCTACTTTCAGGCACTTTGGTGATGCCAACCCAGATTTTGGTCTGAGACAAAACAAAGAGAAATGTTTACAACATCTAGAGCAATATCCAAGCATACCTCATCCCCCACCTTCCACCTCCCGGTCCTGCCTGTCCTATTTCCTCTTCCACAAGCCCTCATCGCCTCGCCTTCTTAGGTGGGCCCCCAAAGGGGACCACTTCTTCCATTTAAAGTCTTCCTTTGCTTCTGCGGTCGGCTTGTGCTGTGAACTGCCTTCTGGGCTCCAGGCGTGCTCTGTGCCTGGGACCTTTGAAGGCCAGACAAATCTATGACTTTCAGGACCGTTCTCCAATGTGAGTGGCCTTTTGGCCCCATTTGACTGTCAAACTGTTGGGGGCTGGTGTGGAATTTCCTGTTGCCCTTGGCAAACCAAACAGAGCCGTGATCAGTGTCAGCCATTCACAGCCCCAGGCACCAGTGGGGTGAGGAAGGGCCCTCGAGCAATATTTATTATTAAACTGGAGCTTCAAGGAAACTGGCCACCCGGGAAAGCCTGTTACAAGTTCTAATTCCCAGGTTCCACGCCCAGAGACGCTGACCCAATAGACCTAGGGTGGGACCCAGAAGTCTGCATTTTTACAAGACCAGTGCTCTAACCCCTGAGCTATAGGGCCTTACAGAAGTCTGCATTTTTAATGAGCTCCTAGGTGCGTAGTGAACCACACTTTGAAGAGAGATGGTCTAAGATGGTGGCTCTCACCCTTGGCTGCTCATTGCAAATACCTGGGGGAATTTTAAAAACCCAAATGTCCAGGTCCCATCCCAGAACAGCTTGGTCCTGGGACCCAAAGCATTAGTAGTTTTTGAAGCTTCACAGGTGATTCCAATGTACAGGTGAGGTTAGGAAGCAGGGGCCTGAGGAGTGAGGAGGACACAGCTGAGCGGGAAACACCACTGTGCGGCCAGAGGGCTGGAGCCTCCCCCTTCCCCC